TTTTTATTAATTTTTATTAATTTTTATTAATTTTTATTAATTTTTATTAATTTTTATTAATTCTTATTAATTTTTATTAATTTTTATTAATTTTTATTAATTTTTATTAATTTTTATTAATTTTTATTAATTTTTATTAATTTTTATTAATTTTTATTAATTTTTATTAATTTTTATTAATTTTTATTAATTTTTATTAATGTTTATTAATTTTTATTAATTTTTATTAATTTTTATTAATTTTTATTAATTTTTATTAATTTTTATTAATTTTTATTAATTTTTATTAATTTTTATTAATTTTTAATAATTTTTATTAATTTTTATTAATTTTTATTAATTTTTATTAATTTTTAATAATTTTTAATAATTTTTATAGTTCTTGATTATTCATCGGGTGTAGAAAAAATAGCGTATGAAACTCTTAAATAATGGTAATTAATACACTCGCATAACCATACGAAACTCGCCTTCGGCTCGTTTCGTATCCAGGTTAAATGCTCGTGTATTAATAACCATCATTACATGATCGTTGCATAATATACTATTATCGACATGAATGTTTTTATTACACTAAGCAGTTATGTCATTTTATTAATTGTTTTACAAAATGTTAAAAAAAAAATTTATGCTTTCAGTTATATTATATTGTTATTCTAATATAATGTGTATTTTACAGTGCCTGTTAATATGAATGTACACCAAACATTTAATCTGTAGGCACAAAATAATAAAATGTTACATATAAAATAATACAATAAATATTAATATAGCATACTCTCCTGCGCTGCTAATGCGAACAAACAATTTCTGCTTCTCGTAAATCAGAAATACTCGTATACACCTATGCACAATATTGTTTGACAACCATTACCTAAGCACCTCTAAAATATGGCAACAGTGGCTGAGGTGGTTTGTGGCTAGATATCGTTCAGGCAGTGTATATATGTAAGAGGTGACTTCGGTATTAATTTTTCTGTGAATATACATATAAAAAAAATGAGATAAATCATTACCCCTCTTTTGAAATTCCGATTCTGGAGGTTCCCCTTAGGGTATCTAAATATCAAAATTTTAAAAAAAGCGTGCGGAAATAGGTGAGGTGAGGTCGCCATATGCACTACACTGAGGTGACAACTTATGGCCTATACATATACATATATATATATATATATATATATATATATATATATATAAAAATAATATGCAATAACTGAAAATAAAAATAATATTAAAAAACAAATAAAGTAGTGTATATGAAGAGCTATTATTAAAATAAAATGAAAAATAATAAGTTGTTCATAATAGGTAAGTACCTACTCCATCTATATATCGATGGCTCAATCAAATACTGCCACAACTCAAAAACTATTGTTTCGAGAAATTTCATTTTGAAATTTGTAAGTCTCTATTATCATTATTTTGTTTTTGACATAAAATCTTTATATTTTATTTAAAATCTTTGATATTTTGCTGTTAAAATTAACGATTATGATTATAAAAGCGGGTTATTGCATAGTTTTTATAAAATTTGGGTGTTTTTGCAGAAAATAACTCGAATTGAGGTAGTTTTAGACACAGTCTGTGACTAGATTTTAACTGATTTTTGGGCATATTTAAGGATATTTTTATTTGTGGCGGTATTTAAAGTAAAACCTTAATGATATTTTGCATCCATTGGGCCGAAAATGTATTTTTTTTTGACTTGTGGCGGTTTTTGATTGAGCCATCGATATGCCTATGATGGATGTCAAAACAATGGCTAATTATAATTACAAATATAGGACAAAAAAAAATTCAAAATAATCCCAAGCCAACAAACTTCTATATTTATATATTAATTGCAAATCCAATATTTACCATACTATGGGTCAGGATTCTGTTGACTTTAAAACTTCTATTATTTTTATTACCATCTTATTACATAATACCTAGATGTGCAGATTTTTGAAAAATCGTTTCATTTTTTATTGTGGAAATTCTCCTCATGAACACCTCCCCCTTATATATAGTTATACAGGGTTGGGCATAATTGGCGGAACACCCGATTTGTGGCTCAATTATGGATTGTATTGAAAATTAACCCAAATAAAGTTTTTTGTATATTTTATGTACTATTTAATGACGCTTGGGGATTTTCATTATCTGTCATATTTATCAAGATATGACGTCATCGGATGAAATTTTAAATGAATCACCCTATATTTATATTTTTTTTCAGATAGATCTTTTCTTTCTGAATCCATCAATATGGGGTTCGGGTGGTCTCTGATTTTCCTTATCATCAGAAAATAATAAAACAAAATGGTAAACGTTCTTTTAAATAATTAATGAATAACTATTCACAAAGTTGTCTGTGCCATCATAATGTACCAATATCAATTGTTTTGCCATGGTTTCACTTTTTGACATTAAAATGTAATATTGACATCTCGATATTAATCACTGAGTTTTATTAATACGATTATTGTACATCTCTGACAGAAATACCTACCAATGTTTTTGTGTTACTGTTTACTTGGTTTTTATAATATTATAAAAACTATTGTCACCTTTTATTAATCTGTAGATTTTAATTCATTCTGGTTTATGGAGACAATCAAACAAGTTGAGTTTAATTGCAAGTCAATTCATTTCACCCAAACTAGCCCAATACGCGAAAATAAATAACTCTTAGCATTTGATACTATTGAGAATTTTTATTAATTTAAACCATGGTTGAACTGAGTGAACGTGAAAGAATTACACTATTGATGATTATTGGGTTTGGAGACAGAAAGAGATCTCTGCAAGAAGCTTGTAATTTGTTCAATGAAACATTTCCTGACAGGATTTCCCCGATTTCTAAATCTACAGTATCCAGAAATTTGAGCAAGTTTAATGAAACAGGAAGTGTGAAAAATAATCCCAGATCTGGACGGAAGAAGACAGCCACTGATGAAGAAAATGCACTTAATGTGGTTCTAAGTGTACAGGAAGAACCAAAAACTTCAGTTCCAAAGCTTGCGTTAGACAATAATATGAGCGAGAGATCTGTAAGGAGGATTCTGAAAGTCAATAAATTTCATCCCTATAAAGTGCAATTACACCAGGAATTGAATGAAGATGACCCAGATAGGCGAATGCAATTCTGCCAGGTAATGATGGATGCCATTAATGGAAATAATATGTTGATGAACAGCATTGTTTTTTCCGACGAATCAACATTTTGTCTCAATGGATTTGTAAATAAACATAATTGCCGGTATTGGTCTGATCATAATCCTCACTGGATGGAAGAAGGTCACACCCAATATCCACAAAAGTTAAATGTTTGGGCTGGTATAGTTAGAGGAAGAATTATTGGACCATTCTTCATGAGAGGAACTCTGAACGGTGATCGTTATTTGCAACTACTTCAAGAGCAGATAGTTCCAGAGTTAGTTCGTTTATATCCAAATCACAGAAATCACTTACAACTTTCTGATGAAATTTGGTTCCAGCAAGATGGTGCTCCACCTCATTTCGATGCTAGAGTGAGGCAGTACCTGAACACAATATTTCCACAGAGATGGGTGGGTCGAAGAGGACATATTGAGTGGCCGGCACGGTCACCGGATTTAACCCCACTGGATTTTTTTCTTTGGGGCCATTTGAAATCAGTAGTTTATAAGGACCTGCCACATTCGCTGGAAGAATTGGAATACAAAATAAGAATTGCTGTTCAAGAAATAACACCTGAAGTTTATCAAAATGCCTTAAGATCATTTGTTGATAGACTAGGATATTGTCAGGCAGTTGGAGGCTTTCACTTCGAACACTTACTTTGAGAGATTTGTAATACTTCGATTGATAATAATTATTATTTTTTATTAAATAAATGTTTACTTTCTATTTTGTTATGAACTCGGAGACCCTCAAACCTTACATTAATGGATTCAGAAAGAAAAGATCTATCTGAAAAAAAATATAAATATAGGGTGATTCATTTAAAATTTCATCCGATGACGTCATATCTTGATAAATATGACAGATAATGAAAATCCCCAAGCGTCATTAAATAGTACATAAAATATACAAAAAACTTTATTTGGGTTAATTTTCAATACAATCCATAATTGAGCCACAAATCGGGTGTTCCGCCAATTATGCCCAACCCTGTATAGAGTGGGGCTCACAGCTCGCTTTGTTCCGAGCACATATTCACTAAATACACCCCACATAGGTACTATTGCTCCACCCTGAAATTGCCTGTAATTACAACAATTATACCAAAAATGTATTTCTTCTGCAATCTGAACAGAAAGTAGAAAACAACACCCATAAAGTATCCTTCAGATGCTCCAACTATATGCAAAATGTAATCAATCAGCTCATGTCAGAATAAAATAAAACCTTAAATTTAGAATTTGATGTTATTCTCTTTATCAATTTTTGACTTATCCAGGATGCAGATAGCCATTATCGCAAAAATGATCAAAACGGATCAATATTTTTATTGGGAGCTTTATTGCTGCTGTTCTTGAAGATAATCATATTTCTGTAGTTTAGCAATGTTTGATTTACTTCAACAAATAATTATTATTTGATTTAGGTTTTATTTGATTATTAAATAAATTAACAGAAATATGTTATCAAAACAATATATCGTCGGCTTAATTCGCAAACTGCGTAACTCCATTTATGCAAATTTTACAGGAGAAGCAAAAAACTATATAATATATTTCTGACTAAAAATAATCTATTTCTAAAATAGCCAATTAAGAAAATTAGGTAGGTGCCATGAAACATTGGCCATTTAATTGGACCTCAGTGGATATTCTTTAAAATATTAACATTTTTTATAACAAAATGGACTTATACGCGGTTTTCTAAAATATCTCGTGACAAGAAATTGGAGATACGCACTTTTATTTATAAATGAAAAAATTAAAAATAGACAAAACAACTCCAAAAACACTTTTATTTTAAACGATTGACAAAAAAAATCATGGTTAAATATTATTAACAAGATTGATGACAACAAATTATTATTATTAGTAGGTACATGAAAAAGTATTGCAGCAAATTAAATTATTTGTGAAAAAAAGGTAAAACATTGCACAAAATACTTTATTTCAAATTATTGGTAACATATGCTGCGTTTGAGAATCCACATCGGATGCATCTGAGATGTAAAAAATCTTTGATCACGTGATTCAGTATACGTAAATGTAATGGGACAGATGTGTCCGATGTGGATAAAAAAACGCTCGAGATGTAAAAAATGCATCCGATGTGGATTCTCAAACGCAGCAATAAATGCATGGTTAATTACTATAAAAAGAACAATGACTTTAAATAAACTTCGCCACAACAAACACAAAAAAAACAAATCTTCAGTAATGGGGTAAATTATCAAAGAAATCATGATAATCTTTTTTAATGCTCTGTTTCAGCTGTTGGAGATGATGATATTTCTCAGTCTTGATCTTCAGTCTGGTTTGATGAAGTGGTGGTAGATTGTCAAAAACCACCGGTGTTGCAACATTTACGTTCAGTCTGATAGGTAAAAGTTGCCAATCTTCCGGTTGTCTTAACTTGTAGAAAACTCCTTCTTTTGAATATTTTATTGCCTTAAGGTCAGTGACTACTGGCGATCCACTTGCTCTCCCTGGCCTTATGGATTTAAAAAAATTAATATCATCACACTTTTTAAAAAAATTGTGTAGCAAGTATTTGACTTTGTAGGGTGTTTTTAAACATGCCGTCTTGCAAATTTGAACATAGTCTGCCGGCACATTAATTTTCTTATTTTTAATCTTACGCTCAATGACGGAATGTACACTGTCAACCTCCATTTGGGTATGACCTTTTTGTAAAATTTTTTGCTTAATCACAATTTTTTTGTCTAATGCAAAATTAAATAAGGCATTCGACAATGTGGTATTGCGGTTTTGATAACCACAACCGTCGCTGTAAAGAATAATTTCCCGATTGTCTAATATTGGGTATTGTTTCAAATGTTTTTCTAAGAACTTAATGATTATAGAAGTAAATTCGTTGCTAGTCAGTCCACCTTCTGACTCATTCCAAATGTAACAATAGCCCTGGTGGCGTTTAATATCATACACCGTGAAATTGTGAACAATTAGTTTTGTTTTATAATATAAGGAAGACACATTGGATTTAGGACACAAAAGTACGGATTGCAAGTCCATGGTGAAAACGTCATTAGCAGATTCTTTATCTTTTGATTTTTTATCCCTCGCTTCTTTTTTTAATTGCAGATGCTCATTATATTTTTCTTCTGACAGATTTTTAGTTTCAAATGCGACGCAAGTATCACATAAATCTTTTTTAGGTTTATATAGTGATAATTTTTTGTTGTCAAATTCTTTGTGTAGCATTGCAATTGATAATGGTTTTGTATTATGATCTGTGCAAAACTGCCTATAAATTCTGTATAAATGAGCCTTAGATTCCCATATCGGTTCTAAGTATAATTTTGACGTCGAGGCTCGACAATAGTGTGATTCTAACTTTGGTAAGGAATCAAAAAAATCGTGAAGTAATTTAAAACGAGCGCTAGATGTTTGATCAGAATTAGGTTTATTTGGTAAAGCTTGATGGTTGTCTTTTAAATCACTTTGAACCCATTTCTTAATAACCCATTCGTTTACACCCAGTGTGTTGAGGGACATTTTCTTGCATACCCTAAGTCTTTCCTTGCCCAAATAAAACTTGTTTGAAAATGTCCTCCTGGAAACTTCATTCTCACCATGCTTCCTAACTGTTGGATGTGCCCAAACATGACTTTTTATAAATATTTTTTTTTCCTTCCAGGTATAATTCCAAAATTGCTCAAATATTTCTTTTCTCGTGTCTTCCTCTAGCTGTCTACACTGTAGTTTGTAATTTTTATTTTTGCTAAGTTTACAGTTGCAATTTATTTTCAGCATCCTAGGTCCTTTTACCAAATCATACTTCCATACACCATTCTCTTGCTTTTTCCCTGCATAAGATTTTCCTTTTTCTCTATTAAATCTATTTGTATTGACATTCCATTTATTTTTGTCAACTTTGTATTTTGTCGAACGTTTTTGTTTTAATTTATCATCTTGGAGATCATCTTTGTGAACTTGATTATCAATTCTTGTGTCATTTGAGCTTAGGCTTTCGTTTTCCTCTCCGCTAAATTCATACAATGGGTCACCTTCATCCGACTCTCTTTGTGTATTAGTATTAAATGCGTTTTCGTTGATTCCGTACTTTGCATAACTATGTCGATTTGTGTCATTTTGTAGATTATCTTTGCTAACCCCATCGTCTATTTGAGTATCATTTGATTCTAAACTTTGATTTTCTTCATACAATGGTTTATTTACATTTGACTCCAAATTTACATTTTCTTCCAAGTCCATTTCCTGATTATTGCCAATTATATTAGACATTTCAAAATCATCCACAAAAATTTGATTAGAAACTCTTTGCATAATATTAACTTCGTTTAACTGAAAACTTATTGTTCCATCTGTTGAAATGTCTGTACTGAAATTTGGAACATCTAATTCTCTTCCTATGCCGATGGCGTCGTTTTCAAAATTAACTTTATCATCAAGAATAACTATATCTGCCTCCTCAATAATAGACATAATATCCGTAGTTGAGTTATTTTCCAAATCTAGTATGTTGGCTTCATCTTCGACGATTTCGGTACCAGGGCTGGTAATAACTCCCGTTCTTCTGAAGGCATATTATTAACTTTCGCCAGAGCTTCAAAAATTCTTTTTGTTCTAGTTGACATTTTTCTGAAACAATGTCATCACTAAATTATACTTGTCTATTAAAACCCTAATAATTACATGTGAAAAGTGCGTATCTCCTTGTATAGTTTTCAAATTTCATTCAAGTTAATGTGAGAAAACTACGTATATCCGTGAAGATATTAAAAATAAACATTTTAATCTCCTTTCACCATACTGATATTAAAGTTTTTGATCAGTTAATATACAAACGATTTCTTACCTGATTATGATAAGCCTTTAAAATAAGTAACACGTGTTTCACGTAATTCACTACTTTTATAAGACAACAACACGCGTGCACTTGTTGATTCATATGGCAACTAACGGAGTTACGCATTCTTCCAAATGAAATTGGCGCGAAGGACTTACGTATATTTCTAAAGTAGCAATAGAACGAAAACTAATTTTTTGTTGGAGTTACGCGTTGTGTCAATGGATTCGTTTGGCAATTTTACATTAGATGGCAACTAAATCAATTTTTGACCAAAAATGGAGTTACGCAGTTTGCGAATTAAGACGACGATATCCATTAACCCAAATAAGATGAGATCATTTTGTCAATACCTTTGTTTTTAGTAAAGATACTTATTCATCTCTTTTAACATCAAGTTTCCAAGTACCTAGACTGAAACATTATTTTTCATAAAAATTGATTCCTATAGACAGAATAATATAGTTATAAAACTATGGGGTCTATTCTGTAACTATAGTTGTTATCTTTCTTACCACTTTCATAGCAACTGTATGTAACAACTTTGACAAAAGTAGCTATTCTAGTATTCACGATTGGTAAATTAGTCTATGCTGTATATCATACAGTTATGCTACCGACCAAGTTGCTATGATCAAGGTCAGTTGTTATATAATCACTTTGAGAAAATCAGAATTCTCTAAGTAAAATCTGTAACAACTAGTGGTTACAAAAGTTGATTCAGAATTATTTGGAAGCAACCAAATATTCTTGATTGTTAAGCGCAACAACTAGTTGCTAAGAAAGAAATATGGACCCTAGATAATAAATATTTTAATAGACCAAGAAATTAATGGAAGGTATATTTACTGATAGAATAATATATATCGGAACTAAATAGATATATTTTCCCCAAGGGTTGGTTTAGGAATGAAGTAAGATTTCAGCAAAGGCTATAATATTCCTTGCAATCTGTATATGTAAGTAGGGGTGACCTTCCATGTCACTTAGGCCTCAATAGGCCCATTGTGCTTCCTTAACGGAAATTTAAGACCTGCCTCTCGGCTCTCCAAAACGTCTGCTGGTTGATATATAACGTCACTGAGAGCTGGTTTATAGGAACCACCTCATAGATCATCAAAAGGCCTGCATGTCTGCTTGCTATAAAGTTGCACATTAAATTTTCCTATCTTGAAGAAAGTTTACAACTAATATTTATGACTTTTTTTTTAATTTCATATCAGTCCACCAACAAAATATAAAAAGTCCCAAATGAAAAATTATATTTCACTTAACGCCCATGACCGGGACATATGACAGATATGCAGAGATGTATTTGGAAAATGTAGGTGAAAATTTAATTAATCTTAATTATTTTACATTTAAGTAATTTAGATCTGTAAAAATATACTGAGGTTCTAAGGATGCCTTCATCGAATTTACTTGCAAAAATAAATGTAATTAGTGATGTTTTGATTAAATCATCTTTCTCAAATATAGCTTCAGCTAAAAGAAAGCTAGAATTTTTTAAATGATAAAATTGAATGTGTCGAGGAACCCCTAATAGAGAAACCGCGTGTAAGAAATAGGAAGTGTGTACACTGCGTACACGCAATTTACGAGCAGGTATTGTAGAACACCTCAACATAGGTTTACACATTTAAAAGAATATGATAAAAAAGGCATTTGATTTATGCTCAAAAAAAATGTTCTGCAGTTTTCTGGGTACTAATATAAAATAATATAACAATTAAAATTGAATTGATCAGGGAAAATTGATTGGCTTGGTAAGTAAAATTAAGATCAAAATGTAGGTATAACGTTTTTATGTTAAATTAATTGTAAATATTAATTATTATTTATGTTTTCTGTGAAAAATTACCTATATTTTGTGTAATAATCATAAGTCAATACTAGGGATTTTTAAAACAATAATTGTGGTATTTATAGATATGACGGTTTTGTGTTATTTTTAATTTTTTGAAATTATCATTGTTTTTTAAAATTTGTACCTAGTTTTTAATAAAATAATTGTCACATTGTTATCTTACATTTTTATGCTTCAATAATTTATATAGTGAGTGATTATAGTGTTTATATTGTGAATATGCTGTTGAATGTATATGATGTAACGACATAGTTTTACCTATTCTATAAATAAAATAACTTATTACAAATGTTTTTTATTTTTCATTTAAAACAAGTGATATTTTCCGTTTTCAGCACTTACAACAAAAATTCATTCGTTTCAATTATTGTAAGTAAAAGCTGTAAAATACGAAAATGTTACTTGAAATTGCTTCATATTTCATAAATTTTGAAGCCCGCTATTTTTTAAATCGCTTTACTTAGTAGTGTTCTACTTTACCGACTGTACCGTATGATAGTTTATCATATCGCGCTTAGCGCGCTGCTGCAGAGGTCGAGCAAACTTGTTGCCAACATCACAGCCAACTTGGTGTGTAATTTTTCCACCATGCCAAGAGCGAAATATTATAAGAAAGAAGATTTGACTTAACCCTAGTTTTTCGAAGTCATTTTGTGGGAAAATTTTAAATGTTAGAAATACAAGATTTCCGAGACTTTTCCATAAAAAACTGGTATGATAATTTCAAAAACGTCACATTACAAACAATAATACTGGAACTACCGGACCAATTACTGAAAAGAATTCAATCCGACCAAATAGAAGATTCAGATGACGAGAATGAAACTAATGATGAAGTGCCCCTAGAATTTATACAAGAATTTAAAAATGCCCTCAACACATTGGGTAATAATGCTTTTGTTAAAAACAACTGGCACGCGCCTGTAGACGCAAGAATGTTTAGTTTTGGACACTTACTAAAAGTTGTTACTTTGGAAGATGTAATAACCTACTTTTCAAGTTCTGGCAAGATCCAAGATGATTTCTCTAATTCTAAAGGTGTTACATTTTGTTTGGCATTAAGAAAATGGATAAGTATTCATCCTGCAGCAGAGTTTAGATGTATAGTGATAAATAACACTCTGAGGGGTATTACCCCTAGGGACTGGCCTACTTTTTATGCACATTTCAAAGAAGAAGGACCACATATTATTGAGGAATTAACGAAGTTTTATAATGATAATATTAAAATTAAGTTTTATAGGAAAAACTATATTTTTGATGTGGTTTTTCAGTATCCAGAAAATCCCTATATTATTGACTTTGAAAGTTTGAATTCAAAAACCAATTTGTATGCATTTTCTTGGAAGGAAATTCAGCCTCTTATAAGTAAGGAAACTCCTGAAAACATTGCACCTGTTTTCAGATATTTAGAAAATGATGTTGGCATAATGACTAGAGCAGATGCATTGAGTACATTTGCAAAATCTCATTCCTAAGTTTTTCAGTTCTGTGGAAAAACTAAATAAATGTTTAGATAACAAGTAAAAATATTTTATTTATATTTGTATATAGGTAATAATTGTTAAACTTAACTAATTAACCCTTTCACTGTGTGAAATGACTATTTTTGAAAATGAACAGAGTGCCCTCATTGGGGGAAATTACTTTATTCGAACTCTCTTGTTTGATGACACTCTGTTCATTTTCAAAAATACTTATTTCACACACTGAAAGGGTTAAATAAATAATTTTTAAATTATCATTTTGTAATAAATTTGTGGCTTCAATATAAAAGTTGCTTCATAGGTTGGATTTTAAACAAAAATCTTTTGGGGCATGTAAAACATTTTATTTTTTTGTATAATTTTATGGATTATATTATACATAAATATGATTAAAAATATATATTTAATATAATGTAGATGTAAAAAGAAAGGAACAAGAAAAGGATATAATAGTACTTTTAAGCTGCCTTAGAACTAAATATACAAAAAAGTATTTATTATGGATAAATTGAGACCTTTATTATTGGCACATACTTTGAGATATTTTGAAGTGATAAAAAATACAGAGGGAGTTATAAATTTTTGTTTGGTTCTATACCAAAATAAACTTATCTTCATATAAAATAACTATCAAACCTTTCTTAAATAGTTTAATATAATACAGTGGCAAATTCTCTCATGTGATCTAAAATAATCTTCTAAATATGCGCCATTTTTTTTTTCAATTAAATCCAAGTTTTTATCAATTAAACAATATCCATTAAAAATAATTTTATTCAGTAAACAATACTGATTTATCTTTGGTTTACATTATAAAATAAAATTTGTCTATCATTTTTAAAATAATGAAATAAATTCTCAGTACTGACAATTTTATGATATTTTTATATCATTATGGCAAATTGGAGATCAAAAAGAAATATTATGTGGAAACAGTTTTGATGGATAAATTCAATAATAACCTAATAGTTGTTTTCTTTAAATATATTTGCAATTTATGAACATTCACTAATAGTTTTGACTAATTTTGAAGTGATAATTTTTGGCATAAACACATAGGAAACACTACCTTTCACAAAGATATTTTCAGTCTGACTATAATAAAAATAAAATGAGATCAAACTTATTTGAATTAATATTAACAGCTGCTACAACAGAACATTTTTTTGTGACTAAACCCAACTATTTTCGGATATGTACGAAAGTAATGATTATAATGGTCAAAGTATTTCTACAAGATACTAGACAATCACATTTATCAGCTACTTTGCAAGTTGTGAATGGTGTTTTCACCAGTAAGAGTGTCTGTGAGGTAAGTGATTTGAAGATTACGCGTCATATGTTGTTTTTCAATGGGACTGTTGATAGTCCAGGCTATTACTCTGACCCCTAGAGAGTTCCACATAGAAATGGTATCCCTAAAACAAAGTGTTAGAATTTTGTTTTCAAAATATATCTCTTTTTTGCACTTACCTACAAATATTATCCTTGTGTAACAAAATTACAGAGATGCCCAACAAATAATAGGTTATTCTTGGTAGAGCCCAATTGTGGATAATTTCAAATGCAATGACTAAGTAACTTTGTAACATCCACAAAACTCTATTTGGTCGGCAGCCTTCTGGGCATCTTAAAATCATATCATTGAATATATTACGTTTTGACGCCAAGCAACATACAATTTCTGGTGAGCTTCTACGTATCTAAAATGATAAATATATTTGACACATCTATTTTTAAATTTACTGGTTTCAATATATTATTAAATAATTTACATACCCAATATATTATATTTGGAAAGAAAGAAGTCACAACAGCCTTAGAGTGCAGTTCTGGATATTTTTTATATAGTTTTAGAATGACAGAAATCATCTAAAATACAAAGATGTTTTTTATATAACAATAACAATACTGGATTGCAGAAAAGTTTTTAAGCTTGAATAGTCTATTAACCTTAGACAGTGGTAGAGCTAGGATTATTGGCGCTAAGAGCAGAAAGGGATTTTTTTAATCGTGAATAATAGTTTAAATAATCTATTTTTATTATTAATATGCAAGAGTAATTAAATGTTTTATGTTACCAATTTAATAAATTAAATTTCGTAATATCAAATGATGTATTTTATTATTAATATTTTATTAAGTACAATTTGAAAATACTTGTAATGGTATAAAAAATGTGAAATAAGTTAAGCTGCCCCCCCCCCTAGCGCCGCTACGGAGACAGTAATTTGAATTTCATATCAGGCCGATCATCTTCTCCAATAAAATTTAATAGAACATCATTGCATGCTTTAAGAGTAAACCGTACGTCCCGCGAAAAGCAAAAATGTGAGGATTTTCTAATATAAAATTGTATTTATGTGCGCGCCACTGAGAATACTTTGTGCTGTTAGGTGAATACTGAGACCTTTAGTAAATTTGTGCAACAACAAGGCAATTCTACAGAGACATTTAAGAAAAAAGGTGGGAAGCTCTTCCATTTAAAAACTACTAGATATATAATAATAAAAATAACATGCTTTATTGGAATAACCAACTAGTCATCGACTGAAGTCCTTCAGCCTTGCATACAAAATGCGAATGAACATTATAATTAAATAAAAATTAAATACAACAATGTGTATATGTATAAAAAAATCAGAAAGTAATAGAATTTTGTTATCAGTTTTAAAGGTCCCACTGTGCTGTTATGGTCATTTCTGGAGACTTCCTCTTGACATGGTTCAATTATACCTCTAGTCTCTTCTTTTTCACAAAATTTTTGAGTCAGATGTATTAATCGCTGCTATATTGGTTTTACTTACGTAATTTCATAAAGAAGGGCATTAGGTGGATTATGTAATGGGTTTCTTGAATGTTTTGTTTTACTGATGGATCGTAATGTACTTGTTTCTGCTACTTCAATATTTTTGAGTGTGTACCTACTTTGCTTGAATTAATATATATGAGATGGCAGTACTCTAAAATGGGTCTGCATATTGTTTTGTAGATATAGGTAGCAGTTTTCTAGGATATGCCTTCTTTTTATACGTTAAACTTCTAAAATGTTTTGCTCTTGTTATACAACGGCTTTTTACTTCAAAAGTGTGATGCTTAAAATTTATTTTTTTATCCATATGTACTCCTGGGTACTTGCAAGCTTTCTAATGCTTTATGTACCGTTTTATTATGAATAATTAGGCCTGGGTCATCTGCATATTGTAAGATGTACAAATCAGTATATACAGTGTGTCGCATTTAAGATGAAGACACCCCTATATTTTGGCTAAATACAGATTTGAAATTTTGCACAGTCATATAGGGTGATGGTTCACATTTTTCAAGATACTCAACTGAAATTTAAATTTTAAACGCGGCCTACTGAGAATCCACAAACATGGTCAATTTTCGATATTTTTCTTCACGTTAGAGATATCAGAAAAAGTTGTTCCGAATATTATTCTAACCCCACATACCTAATTTTATGACAAAATTCGCATTTTAAATTTTTTCATTATTTTGGTCAATAAACAAAATTATTAAAAGTTGATTTTTTTTATTCAATAAACTAGTGTGCCATGGAAAGGAATAATTTGACACTTGTAAAATCATTAATGTCAATCAGATTAGACTTTTAGTTTAGTGTAATTCATGTAATTTAAATTCTTCAGTAAAATAAATAACTCTAACAGAAACGAATAATTATTTTATTTTAAGGAAACAATAATTTTTAGTAGGTAACTGATTTAATTTAAGAACATAATTAAAACAATGATTTTCATAGTACAAATGACAATTTTTCAAATGTTATCTCACTCGACTAGTCCTCCATTTATTTGAATACATTTTTCAATTCTTTTACGATTATGTCTGGATACTCATCTAAGTTCTTGACAGGCTTGTCTTATTCTGGCACAAAGTTCATCTCGATTTCTAGGCCTTGTTTTATAAACTTTATTTTTTATCAGTCCCCAAAAATAAAAATCGAGTGGTGTAATATCAGGGGACCTCGGAGGCCAGGGTTCAAAAGGACCGTTTCTTCCTATCCAGAGCGTAGGAAATTTTTGGTTTAACCATTGACAAACAATCCTTGAATTGTGAATGGATGCACCATCTAGCTGGAAATACATATCCTGTCGCACATTGAGAGGAAGATTTTCTATAGCTTCCATAATTCCCCATCAAAAAAGTTAACTAGACGACCAGAATTTAATGATTTATTAAAGAAAAAAGGACCTATTTTTGGTCTCCCAAAATTCCACACCTAACACTGACTTTCTGGGAATATTGATCTTTACAATTTATAACCCAGTGGGGATTATTTCTGGCCCAGTATCTACAATTTTGAGATGATACAACACCATTGGTGGTGAATGTAGCCTCATCTGTAAACATAAGCTTCTCCAGAAAATGCCTGTCATTTAAAAAATAACCTTGGGCCCAATAACAATCTAATCTTTTATTCTCATCGCCTTCTTTTAATATATGTAAGAACTTTGTTTTATAGGGCTTGATTTTGTGACGGATGAAACATCTTCTGATTTTATCCTTAGTAATATTCAGCTGAGATGATAATCTCGAAGGCCCATGCATGGATTTGCTCGATTTGCCGCCAGTATATCGTTATCCTCAGGATGCGGGTGTATTCGCCGAGGTTGGCCATTCTGATGGATTTTAATAACACTGCTGGTTTCATTGAAAAGATCATTTATAGCGGTTTCTTTTCCATGTGTAATGGAACCACGTTGCGGATGTCTCCTGTTAAATTCTGCAGCAACTTTTCTGCTGCTACGAGCAAAATCACCAAACAATCGGATTATTTTGATTTTTTCTTTAAAGTCAACGGAATATTAATTCGGTTTTCACTAAATAGAACTCAATGTAATAAACTGAAAGCCTAATCTGATTGACATTAATGATTTCACAAGTGTCAAATTATTCCTATCCATGGCACACTAGTTTATCGAATAGAAAAAAATCCACTTTTAATAATTTTGTGTATTGACCAAATTAATGAAAAAACTAAAAATACGAATTTTGTCATGAAATTTGGTATGTGGGGATAGAATAATATTCGGAACAACTTTTTCAAATAACTTTTTCCGATATCTCTAACGCGAAGAAAAATATCGAAAATTGACCATTTGTGGATTCGCAGTAGGCCGCGTTTAAAATTTAAATTTTAGTTGAGTATCTTAAAAAATGTGAACCATCACCCTGTATATAATATAATCACCCTGTAAATATATATAATTTTTTGGTTGAAATTGGATATGTCGTGACAATATAGGTTGTATAAAAGTGGGGGCAAAGGTGATCCATGAGGCACTTTCTGTTGAGGAGTGAATATGAATATATGCTGTTTATTACTTTTCTACTGCACAGATAATTTTTGAGTAAGAGGATGCATTTAGGACTGTTCATTAACCACAGTTTGTATAATAGTCCTTGATGTATTACACTGTCGAAAGCTTTGTTAATGTCCAGAAACACTGCTGCACTACACTCGCCTTTTAGTTTTTCATCAAACCTGAACTGATATACTTGGATTTTTTGACCGATTTCTTGAGCTAGAATGTTTTTGATGATTATTTCAAAGTTTTTACTTAACACTGACAAAAAAGTAATAGGTCTGTAGTTTCTTGTGGCATGTATTCGGTTTAGGAACTGTGATTATGAATCCATGTTTCCATTCAGGGGGAAAGTACATATGATTAAGGCAGTATTCATAAATGTTCTTTATGTGGATGTGTATATTATATTCTAGCTTTCTTAGTATGTTCTTGGTAACTATGTCATGTCCAGGTGATGTACTTTGCCTCATAGACACTATGTCAAAATATGTTTCTTCATCTATCTCCTTATTTTCATTGTTAGGTGTATTACTAAAAGATATTTTATGCCATGTTGTGACTAGTGCATAATGTGTGTTATCAAATTGAGGGCCATTGTCTTCAATAAAGGCATCCATGATGGTCAGCAAGAATGGCTACTTTTTCTTCATGTGATTTGAACTTTTGGTTGTTCTTTTCTAATTGGGGTATATGTGGTGTTTGCTTGTATTTTGATATATTTTTTTCCCTGTTGTTTGTTTATCTCATTGCAAACAGTCATCCATTTATGTTCTTTGTAATGTTTTATAAGAGTTTTAATATATTGTAATTTTAATTAGACATTTGGCTTCTTCACTAGGGTTGTTTAAATAGTCTCTGTATATTTTTCTCTTGTTTTATATTAATTTAATATTGAATGGCGGGGCTAGATATTTATTAAAACAAAAAGCAGCAAATTTTCATAGATTTAATACAGAATGGCACAAAAATGTTATTTTAATTCCTTTTAAAAATTATCAAAATAAATACTTTTCAAAGATTTACAAAAAAATCAAGCTTTCTCCACCCTAAGTTTTGTTTTTATTGAGGTTTCCTAAAAATTTTACAAAAATGGAACTAAAAATAAAGGCTCAGAAGAATTTAGAAATTTTCAACGGGTTCGGTTTACTCTTAAGATTGTGCATAAGTTTTATTAAAAAATACATTTTTACCTTGTTACTTGGGTCTTTCACATCAATAAACATTCTTTGACCCAGAGAAAGAATATGTTCAACTGCCTGATCTAGTGTTGGTATGTTAGCATCAGGGAATGAATCCCTAATAATAAAAAAAATATATTTAACAATTTAAATCATTTCCAGAAAGCCCTGTATATGAAAATTGTGAATTTAATAAATCATAAAAGGGTCAGAAACATCTAAAATAAGTGGCTGAATAATTTGAAAATTCGGAAACAAATCTCAAAAATCCCTCTACAAATTATTAAAACCATCCCCGAACTTCAAAGGTGAAAACAAATACTTGGAGACTTGAAAAAGGCCTGTCGTCCCCAGGATTCCAAACCAGACATCATTGTCAAGATTTCTAGACAGAAATTTGATGTGCTAGTTTGGGCTAGATGACGTTCAGGCTTGTTCTCAAATCTTCAAATATCTCTATACAGCCCATATCTCCATCTGTGTGAGTTAAGTTTGCAGTATGTCAGGAGACGTAAACCTGAGTGGAAAAATTGTGAATTTAATAAATCATAAAATTGCAAATCGAAATCCAAACAGTGAAATAAGTGACTGAATAATTTGAAAATTCGGAAACAAATTTCAAAAATCTCCCTACGAATTATTAAGATGATTTCCGAACCTCAAAGGTGAACAAATACTTGGAGGTTTGAAAAAAGCCTGTAGTCGCCAGGATTAGTACCAAGACATCCTTGTTTGCTAGAAAAATGTTCTTTCCTCTAGCTAGACCATCAACGACATTGTCAAGATTCCTAGATAGAAATTTGATGTGCTAGTTCGGGCCAGATGATGTTCAGGCTCATTCTCAAATCTTCAAATACACTCTATACAGCATCGGTGTATAAGAGAAATGCGTTTATGCATTCTAAGTCTATATCTCTTCATTTGCGTGCCTCAATGCCTCAAATGTACATCATGTATATTTATGCTTTTTCTTCATTGTTGCAACAGCAAATTGAACTAAACTTTATGCAAAACAACTTTGAATCATTAGAAATAAAAAACCTGGGTATATATTTAATCATTAGTCAAATAAATTAAATTATTAACATAGATTATATTATATTTACCTACCTATATGCATGTTTGATTGAAACGTCAATCTTTGACAGTTCTTCCCAAGCAGTATGTTTAACAACTACATTGGAGTCTGCCATTCTTTCTGTGGTAGTATCATGAAAAATGATGGGAACCCCATCTGATGTTAGAGAAACGTCAAATTCAATGACATCACATCCCTTTTCATGACACTAAAAATAAAATACAAGTATTACAAATTATAATTTTCATTATGTATTTAAAAATATAGTCCTCCATCATTTATAGTGAGTGCTTAGGTAACTAAAATTAAAAAAGATTCAATCTGTACGTGCATCAAATAAAATAATTAATTTTAGCTCAATTTATTTATATAGTATTTGGTACTTATTTTTTTTGCCAAGTACTTGTAGATTAATTTATCTGAATGGAAATTATGATAAATAAATGCGTATGCATAAATCTGTCATATGAAAGCTATTGAACATGTCAAGAATTTACATTAAAATAGTTTTTAATACAAAATCATTGGGTTTTATAAAGTTTGAGGTTAATGAAATATTCTGAATAAAATACTTATTAAAGAAATATAAATTCTCACCCTTGTAAAAGCCTCTAATGTATTTTCCGGCGCATCCAGACCTGCCCCCCTATGAGCCACAGTTTTTATTGTAAACCCATTTTCGCCTGCTTCTTGATTCAGTTCCTTTCCTAGAATCGTTTCTACTGCAAGTCGATCAGGAGGTGGCACTCTAAATATTGCTATGAAGCCTACAATAATTCCTGTGGATACTAAAGTAAACGGCACATAACTCGTGAAAATTTCTTTTATCAGAAACCATGTTCCGTATGTAGCGTAAATAAAAAATAAAGCTGCCGGAATCAATCGTAAAAAGTCGGATTTCATTGTTATTTTGTTACAGATTTATTTCTCACTGAAATATTTGATTGGACCTTCCATCAGTACTATTAATTTAAAAATATATTCATGATTCTTTCATGTAAAAATCATTTGTTGACATAAGATAAAATCACAGAATAGGTAGGTTATTCTAAAATGTTGATGTCTTCCACAGAACACTTACTGTTAGAACGGTAACTCCCATGTTATAATAAAACGGTGATAGAATTTTAGCGTCACCTGGCGGACGTGGTTGATTTTTTGCAAGTAAGTTCTTATCGGGTACGAGGCCACTTGCAAGAAATACAAAAAAAAGAAGAAAAGCGCGGGGCTATTAAAATTTGACCGTAAAAATTACTCTCATTAAAAACTGTTAGCCAAATTAAGATTAGTTCACACAAACTACATTTTTGCATTATTATAGCGATATTCGCTATAATAAAGTAAAAATTAGGTTGTATTAGGGATGCGCACGATGTATCGATATTTAAAACACATCGATTTTTTGGTTTCGATTATCGATGTTAACATCGATGTCTTTTATCCCATGTTTATTAGTTAAGGCCAAGTTCAATGACAGTGACGGCGACTTTTTTATCACTAGAGGCGAGTTCGGTCAGTCAGGGGCTGGAGCGGGACATATTTTAGGGTGCTTTTAAATGACATTTAAGCGTGTTAAACTGTCACTAATCGGACTAAACCTAACGCTAAAAGGGTCGTTTGGAGTTAAAAGTGTTAAAGGAGTTAAAGGAACTTGGCAGACCGAACGCAATGAAGAAATACAGCTCTGAACGATAATATTTTAAAAAACTGTTTTCATAAATGGGTTCAAAAAACTGTAAAAAATGATGGAAAGTCTATGGTTTGTTTTACTTTTAATGCATAATATTTTAATAAGTGATATTTAACAAATATTTAAAAGTTATGGACTTTCCATCATTTTTTATAGTATTTAGAAGTTAAAACGCAACATACATTCTTTTATTTTTGCCTAATTATTTCAGGATTCTTGTGATAAGATTTAAAAATGTAGGGCCCATAAGATCTAAACAGACGGAATAGACACTAAAAATTGAAAAATTGCAACATCGCTCCCTATATGCAGACGAATGTAAAGTGGCTTAGCCCAATTTGACCATGTTTATGGGTGAGGGGCGAGGTGGTGTGCGGGGAAAGGTTGCAAGTAAATAAATTATTCTATAAATGCATAGCCCTTAGAAGGTCTAGATACCGCATCGTAAAAACATTTTGACCCCCCATATGATGGGCGCCATGATAAATAAATGTCAATAAATTTTAAGTTGGCGCTTCTGACAAGACAGAATCGGCACAAGCAAAGAATACATACCCAAGAAGCGAAACTGAATGAGTTTTTCTATGTACCAAAGTAGCAGCGACCTTGACGTAAATGGGAACTTAATACACTGGGAAACGTATAATTCCAATCAATTTTTGTTGTTTGGTTCATGAGAATTAAACACATACTAAAGTTAAAATGACGGAAAATTCTTGCTATATTAATTGATTCTGGATACGACCCTGTCAAAATGTCGCCAATCTAAGCAATCGTTTTGCTTCGGCTCCTCTTATACCGAAGACTATAGTATTAGCTAAATGTTTTTTTTTTTTTTTTTTTAATTTGTTATATTTAATTGTACTCAAATACCATAATTTATTTCTTCATGTTAAACACTGGTTAAAATCACTAAACAAACGCCACCCCCGTTAAACTAACATTTTTATATGTATATTAGTTTGAAACACTTACCAGAAACAATTACTACCTTTTTTGGAGGATCAATAGTGAGAATAGCATAGCTTCGTTTGCATTTGGAGAATACTGTGGGTACAGCATTGTCAAATAATCGTCTTCTATAAGATGTACTGCTTGAAAAATATTTTTATTCAAAATGTTGTTCACATATTCTATATGAAGATAAGCTACTAGGAACTGTGAAATTTAAATCTTCACGATTACAAGCTTTTAACCAGAGTTGAGCTCTACAAAATAATATTTAATATTACTTAATTTTTCTAAATAAATTTGAACAGTAACATTTCAGTACATACCTTATGGCATCTCCTGGGGATTTAAACATTGTTAGCCCTTGTTCTGAAGTTGTAACTGTATTTTTTTCATTGTAATAAAAACCTTTGAACTATCTAATATATAATTACTACTTTTAAATAAACCTACTGAAATTTTCTCAAAACGCTAAGAATAATATACCAAACGTCATACACTACATGAACTGACAACTATATTTGACGTTAAACTACCTCTAAAACACTGAGAAAACTTGGCAATTTTTTGTCCACGAATCGCCCATTTAGTGTCGCTTCTTGGGTAGGTATTCTTTGGCACAAGTTTAGTAATAAGCGTAAGACCGGCGTTCGACGATATAATCGATTTTATTATCTGTTGTGTTGTTTATTTTGTTCTTCTAGTAAAGGTTTTATTTCAAACATTATTTTTTAGTTTAGTCGTTTAGTGTTTTATTTTAATAAAAAACATTTGTGGTTTGGTGTTAAATTTTTACAGGATTTTCAAAATCTGTTGTTGTTTTGTACGTGAATGTAACAATGCATCCAACGGTAGAATATACAAGGAAGGAATAACATTTCATGTGTAAGTTTTCAAAAATATTTGTATATTTTCAAAATCAAATAATTTGTGTTTTGTTGTAGCACACCAAAAAATTTTAGGAAAGAATAACTGATAGCCATAGGAAGACCATTGAATCATTTTGTGACTTTAGTATAAGCCCAGAAAATTTGGGGATACTAGCTGAAACGGCAAATGTGTCATTGGCTCCTTGTTAGTGACCTATTTTACAATTTTTCCAACACACGTTCCATGATCCTTTGAACTTGGCTGCACCGTACTGATGAAGACCAATAGTCAGAAAAACGTGTCGACCTTTACTTCTTTTTTACTTTTTTTTATTCGGAAAATGTCCATTATTACTACCTTGATACAATAATATTAGTTCCGTTCTAAGTAGGTACATATTATAGTGTGTATGTTTTATGCTTTATTTTATTACATGTAATAAATGATAGGAAATATACTTTTATAGTAAATAAATTGATTAAAGCAATATGTAAGAATAAGTTTATCTAAGGATTAAATTGTTAAAGCAATTTTTCATATCCATTGTTTATTAATTTGTTTCATTTAATTCTTTCTTATTGAGTAAGTTATTTCATATAAATATGCGATACTTGTAAAATGTAATATTTTCTTTTAAATAGGTATATATTATGTTTGTATAAAATATTGTTCAGTTAATAAAAACAGAAATATTTTGTCTTTTATTCAAAAGAAGATTGTAAATTTTTCAAAATATATTTACCTACCCCAAAAAAAGATTAATAAAACCAGTTAGTCATATACACATTTTCTATATATTTATAGAGGTACTTTTTAAATAACTTTCAATACATTTGAAATCTGTGGTTCTATTAAACTCAATGTAACAAATAATAATAGGTATTCTCAAAAATATTTAAAAATAAAATCGAGATGGGACTCTTGTATAATTTAGTGACTATTCGCCTATGGTTAGTGCACTGATGTATGTCCCTGGGTTTTCTACATTAGAACAATACTGCTTCTCCACTCTAGCAGTATTTTTTACATCTCACAAGATTATATTTATTAAAAAACCAAGGAATTGTTTTGGGCCTATTGCTGTGCCCTTTTCCAACATTCCCAA